ATTTTTGTTTGGTTTCATTTTTATTGTTTCATCGTATGTGTAATAGTGATGAGTACAGTTCTCTTGATTTTTAATAACAGTGAAATTAGTATTTCACAGTTTAATAAGATGTTTACTCATGGCTTTTTTCATCTTATTTTTCTTTTTTCTTTTTCTTTTGGTATAATTAACACACAATTACATATGAAATGTTTAGTGAGTCTTAACAACTTGATGTAACCACCACCCATGACAGGATATATATTTCCATCACCCCAGAATGTTTTGGTGTAACAAATTTTAATCACCACTTTCCCATCCTCATCCCTAAACAGAGGTAAATACTTTGTGTTCCACAAATTCATTTTTCCTGTTTTTATACTCATTCAAGGGAAATTATTCAAAATGAGGTTTTTTAGTTTTTTAGTCACTTCTTTCATTCAAAACATTGTTAAGATTCATCCATATTTTTGCAAGTTTCATTCCTCATTTTTTAAAAATTCTGAATAGTAATCCATTTTTTTAATAGATAATCACTTGTTTACCGGTTCTCCTGTGGATGTACAGTTGCTCATAAATGTTCTTATACCAAGTGTATTATACATGTGGATTTTAATTTTTTTTAGGGTAAGTACAGTAAATGTTTTTAACTTTATTTTTTTTTAAAGAAAGATTTTTGCTATAGGGCTCATACACTTACTGGAAAGACAGAGACAGAGAGACAGAAAGCAAGAAACCAATCTCCACTCCAGAGGGAATGGCCATGCCACAGTCCCTTCTGCACACTTGGTGCGAGTTTTAAGTCACTGAGTCCAGGACTTGAACCACGGTTGACTCTGTGAAAGTCCAGCAATGAAACCATTATTCCATTTGCTGGTCCCTTAACTTTATTTTAAAAAGTAGAGCTTCAAAATAGTTCTGCAAAATGGATATACCGTTTACCTCTACATAACAGTATATGAAAGTTATTCCTCATTCTTATAGACATTGGTTTTTGTTTGGTTTTTTTGAGAGAGGTTCCCCCCCAATCTTTTTAATGACTGAAACATAAAACATCTAAAACAGCAGCTTCTGAGAGAACCACTTGTTCTTGCCTGTCTTGTACTTCCCTTTGAACTTGACCTTTGCCTCCCACTGGGCCTTGCGTTTAAGAGCAGCGTCTCTGAAGACATCCTTGTTGACTACAGTTTTGTCCAATGGAATATCCACAGAGTACCTTGTGGGCATGAGGTGATTGTAGTTATAACCTTCACAAAAGGCCTGATCTTTGACCTCTTGGTGATTTTCTTCTTCCCTATGGCAGCTATCACTTTGTGGAGATAGCGGTCAATTCCAGCCACAAGAGCGTGGCTGTAGGGACGATCTGTAGTGCCATCATCAGTGTTCTTCACAATGGCGGCTTTGCGTCTGGAGTAGCATCCGGCCAGCACCAGCACCACTTTCCCGGGTTCCATGAATTTGCCCGTTTTGACAGCAACCACCAGGGCCTACAGAAAGAAAAGACCGAGAGATTTTTGCTGTAAGGCACGTGCGCTCACCAGAAAGGCAGAGACAGACAGAAAGTGAGAAATCACCCCCCGGGAGGATGGCCATGCCACAATCCCTTCTCCTTGGGATCTTGGGCATGCACGCACATACGCCCAGCCTGAGTTTAAGCCACTGGGTCCGGGACTTAAACCATAGTCAACTACGTGGGAGTCCAGCAACATAGCCATTACGCCAACTGCTGGTCCCTAGACATTGTGTTGTTTGTTTGTTTGTTTTCAGTTTATTTTAGCCATTCTAGCAGTTATAAAATGGTGCTTCATTTTTATTTTAATTTCACATTCCTAAAAACTAATGTTGTTGAGCTACTTATTAATGTATTTTGTGCCAGTTGCCCATCTTATTACAGAAACTGTTAAGATCTTTAGTCTATTAAATAAACTTTTTGTACTTTTTATTATGATTTATAATAGTGATTTATAGGTTATGGATGTCCTTTATTAGATATACGTATCATGAATATTGTTTCCCAGTCTCTGATTAAGTCTAGTTTACCAAACTTTAAGTGGTTCTTTTATGTATCCTAGGAATTCTTTGTTTATCCCAAAGTTGTGAAGATTTTTCTGTGTTACTAGAAGTTTTATAGATTTAGCTCTTACATTTAGATCTATTTCTTTCAAGTTAACTTGTACATTTTTAGGGTGGGAGTTCGGGTTTGGTTATTCAGTCATACCTTTGTTAAAAAGACATTCTTTGGGACCAACAGATGGCATAATGGTTATGTCACTGGACTCCCACATAGTCGATTGCCTTTCGAGTCTCAGTCACAGCAGCTTCAACTCACACCAGGCCTGTATTCATGTGTGCCCAAATTCCTGAGAGGAGAATGGAGCAGAAGGGGTTACAATATGGCCATCTTCACTGTGGGGTGATTTCTCATTCTGTCTCTCTGGCGAGCACACACACCCTAAAGCAAAATCTCTCTGTAAAAAAAAAGAAAAAGAAAATAAGACATTTCTTGTTAAATGGACTTATTACCTAGTATCGACAGTACATGCATGTGCCTATTTCTGGACTTTTTTCCTATTAATCTGTGAATCCTTAAACTAGTGTTATACTGTTTTGATTATCACAGTTTTATAACAAATTTTGAAATCAACTAGTGTTTAGTCTTTCCATTTTTTGTTTTTTTCAAAATTGTTTTGGCTGTTCTAAGTACATTGCATTCCTCTGCATATTTAATAAATTGTCAATTTATGCAAAATACCTCCTGAGATTTTGATTGGCTTTGTGAAATTTCAGATACATGGTCATCTTTTGACTCTCGAGTCTTCACTTCATGATTATATTTCTTCATTTATGCAGAGTAACTGATTATATCAATAGTAATGAAAGTGAACCTCTTTTTTAAAAAAAAAAGTTTGAAATCTTTCTGTAGCTTTGGATTAGTTTCATTTGAGTTACTGTGAATTTAATAACCAACAAAGTAATGTTGGAAACCTGGGGTGATGTTTAGAAAATGCTGCTGAAATTCAGGCTCCTGTGTGTAGCTCTCAGTGAATAGAGAACCTCTTGAACTAAGAGGTAAAGAGGAATAACTACTTCTTTTTTTTCAAAAGACGTAAAGCTCATCTCCAGGAGGAAACCAAGTAACATAAATCCAGATTAATTACTAAGGTCTCTTATCAGTAATACTTTGATATCTAAAACTTGTGAAAAAAGCTTATCTAAGTGCTGACATTTTGAAGCCTTTGGCCATCTCTGCCAACTATTTCCTGAAAGACAGTGGTCTAAGACTTTACAGACTTCTGTGTCTTTGATAAAATAATGGCTTTTCTTTCCTTTCTTTGTGTCAGTTTGTTAGTTTTGTTTTAATTCTTCAGAGGGTCCTCATGCCATGACCAACCTCCCAGCACACACTGCCTCAGCCAGTCTGAATCCTGTGAAAACGTGCCCAGCGCACACAGGGAGCCCCTGGGATGTGAACTGGGGACTCTCCCAAGTGGGTCTAGCCTCACAGAACATTGCTTTATCACTGTGCCACCTTCTGGGCTTCAGTGACTTTTCTTTTGAAGGAATAAAATCTGGGAGATCAGGAGGTCATTTGTGGAGAAGGGAGGGTAGTGAGGGCTTTGAAACATCTGGAACATAAGCTGTAAGCTTCTCTTTTGTATCTGAACTTGAAGACAGAAGTGAAAGAGAACCTGTGGAGCCAAGTAACCTCTAACAGCTTTCCAACTTTAATTTAATAAAGTTTATTTTATTTATGGTAGAAAGCATATGTGCACAAGAGGTGGGGGAAGGGGAGGAAGCACCCTTGACAGGCTCTCATCATGTCCCAGTGCCCTTTCTCCAACCCTCCTAGCTCCTCAGGATCTTGGGCACACATACCAGTGTGTTTTCAAGCCAGCCTGGGGATCTAAACCCTAGTCAGCCTTGTGGCTTTCCACTTGCAGTTCAGTTTGCTACTCAACTGCAGCTTGCCACCAGGCTGGCCCAGCATTCCTTATTAATATTTTTCATATGCTGGGATTCCAAATAAATGCCTGGATGTTGTGCAGAGGGGTGTCCTGCCTGTTAATAATGTTAGCAGTAATTGTGGAAAACACTTCTAAATTCTATTGGTCTAGGAAGATTTTGCCTAATTATAGTATTTTAGATTTTTTAAAAATACTAACCTTGTAGCCAAATAAACCACTATCTTGATATTCAAAGATTAATTTTTTAATAATTTTTTTTCTGAACTTTAATACTCTAAAAAGTCTGTAAGTCCATGTTGTTTGAGGCTTTATCATGTCATTCTACCAATGGTGGTGAATTCTAATTTTAAGGAAATTGATTGTTTCCCCCTAATAAGAGGAAAAAGATTAGAGTATGTAACCTAAAGAAAATGCTAATGGCCCAAACCAATTTCAACTCTAATATCTTATGTGAGAAGTTTCCTGACTTATTTAAAACAAACAAACAAACAAAAAACTTAGCTTAAAGAGGGGCCAGCAGGTGCTATGATATGATAGTTAAGGCACTAGGTTCCCACATGACCTACCACAGTTGAGTTCCAGACCCTGCCGCTTGAAAATGATGCCACGTGCATATGCGTGCATGCCGAAATCCTGAGAGGACAGTGGAGGAGAAGAGATTGTGGTGTGCCCATTCCCTCTGGAGGGGGTGATTTGTCACTTTCCCTTTCTCTGTCTCTGTCCAGTGAAAACAGGTGCCCTTAAAGAAAAATAAAAACAACTTGGCTTAAAGAAACATTTTTGACTCTTTGGCATCTGGTCAACTTTAATGTGATTGTGAGTCTATTTATGTAATCATAAATTGGCACAAGTCAGGATATGTGTATGAATGTATCTACAAACACATCTGTGTGCGTATAGGTAACTAATATTTTCTCCAATCCTGGGGCAATACGTGTTCCATCTGATACGTGCAGTGAGAGAATATTCAGAAAATTCTGCATATTCACCTTTAAAATAATTTTGTAACAAGGATTTAAAGTCACTTTTTCTTCTTTTTCTTGCTCATTGTTTCAGGGTAACCAGGAGCCAACAACAACTCCTGACGCAATGGTTCAGCCTTTTACTACAATCCCATTTCCACCACCTCCACAGAATGGAATTCCCACAGAATATGGAGTGCCACACACTCAGGACTATGCCGGCCAGACCAGTGAGCATAACCTGACACTCTACGGAAGTACGCAAGCCCATGGAGAGCAGAGTAGTAACTCGCCTAGCACACAGAACGGATCTCTTACGGTACGTGGATTATAGAGTGGGAAATGGAAGGACATGTGTCAGCCATATTTAAATCTTCACTTTAATCAGGAGACCAGAAAACCCTTTTTAGTGAGTTTAGCATTTTCATTCCATTACATAGCATTTTCATAATTTCGCTTCTACCTCAGGCATTGTGATTGGATTTAGGATTGTGGTTCACAGTCATTGCCTGGGAGCTTTCAGTCTAGGGGTGAGACAGACAGTGTAACAAGGTAAATGCAGTGGTGAAAGTGAATTTAGAAGTATGCTGCTCCTTTCGGTTTCACTAGTTGCAAAATCTGTTTTGCAAAAACCCATGATCCCTCCATGTAGCTTCATTCTCCATACTCCTTGGTGTTCTTACTGTCATATTATTAGAAATATAACAATATAGTTTTATACTTATTACTTTAAACAGTTTGTGTTTTTAAGATTTTATTTTTCAGAGCTATTAAAGTTTGTAGCAAAATTGATAGGAAGCCCATACTTATGCATGACCTCCCACACTGTCAGCATCTCAGCCCAGAGTGGTTTTGTTAACAGTTAATGAACCTATATTTGCACATCATTATCACCCAAAGTTTATATGAGAGTTGGCTCCTCTTGGTGTTGCACCTTTAATGGGTCTGGATACCTTATAATTACACGTACCCACCATTCTAATATTATATAGAGTAGTTTCACTGTCCTAAAAGCACTCTGTGTTCTGCCTGTTCTTCCTTTTCTCCCCTCAACTTCTAGCAAACATGGCTTTTTTTCCCCTTAATTTATTTAGTTAGTTATTCGATAAGTGAGAAAAAGAGAGAGACAGGACTCCCAGCAGGGTCTTGATGCTATGTTCCACTCCTAGCCCCAGCCAACCCTGGATCATGGGCATACATGAATGTCCAGTGTACTTAGGGAGGTCTCGACTTGATCCAGGGACCTTCCCTTGTGGGGTTGCCTCACAAAGCTTTACGTTTTACCTCTGTGCCACTCTCTGCCCATTAATCTTTTTCTTATCTTCACAGTTTTGTCTTTTTCAGGATATCGTATAGTTGAAATTGTACTGTATGAAGCTTTTTCAGATTGTCTTCTTGTACTTAGTGATATGCGTTTATGTTTCCTCCAGGTCTTTTCATGGCTTGATAGTTCATTTCTTTTTAGCTCTGAATAATATTTTATTGTCTGGATATACCACAGTCTATCCATTCACTTCCTGAAGGACATTTTGGTTGCTTCTAAGTTTTGGCAATTAAGAAATAAAACTACTGTAAATAGTGCAGAGGATTTTGTGGACCTAAGTTTTAACTTCTTTGGCTAAATACTGAAGAAGCATAGTAACTGGATTGTACGTTTAATTTTGCGAGAAACCACCAAACTGTCTTCCAGAGTATCATTTTACATTTCCATCAAGCAGTGAACCAGCATTCCTGTTGTTCCACATCTTTGTAATCTTTTGGGATTGTCAGTGTTCTTCATTTGGGCCATTCTAATAGTTGTAGTTTAATCTCGTTGCTTAAATTTTCATTTTTCTGGTGACATATGATGTAGAACATCTTTCCATATGCTTATTAGCTATCTGCATATCTTTGTTAGTGTAGTATCTGTTAAGGCTTTGGGCCCATTTTTTATTAGGCTCTTCATTTTCTTATTGTCAAGTTTTAGAAGTCTTTATATATTGGGTCATCAGGAAAGCCATGATACATTTTTGCACAGAAAAACACATCACAACCTTCTCAACAACTTAATATTTTGGCTATCAAATCTGATGTGTTCTTTTATTCCCCATTTTCAGTTGATCTTTATATTTCTCCAGATCCAGGTTTTTGTCTGATGTCATTTCCTTTCAGCCTGCAGTATTCCTTTTAATATTTCTTGTAGTGTAGGCCTGTTTGAAACAGGCTGTATTTTTGTTTCTCTGGGAATTTTTTCCATGTGTTCATTTTTTGAAGTATAGTTGTGTAACCTGTAGAATTCTTGGTTGACAGTTTCTTCCCCTCACCTCCCAGCACGTTAAAGTCATTCCACTCCTCCCTTACTTCTGATAAGAGTCAGCTGATTCAAATGAGAAGTCAGCTATTAATATTGTTGCCATTCCTCTTGAGCTGTTTTTCTCTTGCCTATCTCAGGGCTTTCTTTGTTTTTGCTTGTATTATGTTTGGGGTCATACTTTGAGAGATTCATGTTTTTCATTAAATTGGGATTTTTTTTTTTTTTACCATATTTCCTTTTTTTTTTTTTTTTTTTGGAGAGATTTTCACTGTAGGGCGCGTGCGCTCGCCCAGACAGACAGAGAGAGACATAGAGACAGAAAGCGAGAAATCACCCCCCAGGGGGGATGGTCACGCCGCAATCCCTTTTCCTCCATTCTCCTCTCGGGATCTTGGGCACGCACGCACACGCGCCCGGCGTGAGTTTTAAGCCACCGGGTCCGGGACATGAACCGCGGTCGACTACGTGGGAGTCCAGCGACATAGCCATTACGCTAACTGCTGGTTCCCCCATATTTCCTTTTTTTAATGTTTAGAATTTGTTACTCGGGGACCAGCAGTTAGTGTAATGGCTATGTCACTGGACTCCCACGTAGTCGACCGCGGTTCGCGTCCCGGACCTGGTGGCTTAAAATTCACGCCGGGCGCGTGTGTGTGCGTGCCCAAGATCCCGAGAGGAGAATGGAGGAGAAGGGATTGCGGCATGGCCATCCCCCCTGGGGGGTGATTTCTCGCTTTCTGTCTCTCTCTGTCTGGCGAGCGCATGCGCCCTGTAGCAAAAACCTCTCCAAAAAAAAAAAAAAAGAATTTATTACTATTATTTTAATTTAAAAAAATTTGATCAATGTACATCATTTGTCTTGTAAAGAGAATTTACCCAACATAAAATATACCTCAGACCAGTCCAGTTGAAAATACTATACACATTATCATCAACAGGCAGTAAGCCATTTCTGTCTCCCAGAAATGTCTTGCCTTTCTATTTTTCCTTCTTAATTTCCTTCGCTGTACTCTTCCCCTCTCCCATCCTCCCTCCACAATGTCTCCAGTGTCCATAACTATTTTCACTGCTTTTATGTCCTCCAACCTTTAATCTCTAGCATAGAGTACAGACAATCAGTATATATTAAGTGAAGACATACGGCATCTCTCTTTCATAGCCTGGCTTGCTTCACTCAACAATAGATATTCCATATTTGACCACTTTCTATCGAAAACCAGAGTCTTGTTGATTTTTATGGCTGAATAGTATTCCATAGAGTATATGAGCCACACTTTTTCAATCCATTCACCTGTTCGTGGACATTTAGGTTGGTTCCATGTCTTAGCAATTGTGAATAATGCCGTAATAAACATTAAGGTGCAAGCACTTTTCTGACTGAGCATTCTCTTGTCCTTTGGGTAGATACCCAGGATTGAGATTGCTGTATCATATGGTTTTTCTGTTTGTAATGACCATTATTTCTTAAATTTTTTTTTTCCTGTTTTCCTCTCTTCCTGGGCCTCTCACTACATATATAGGGACACTTGTTGTTCTCTAACAATGTTTTTTTTTTTTAATGTAATTTAATTTTTTAAAAATGTGCTATAGGGTATGTGTGTTCTCCAGAAACAGAGTGGGGAGAGAGGGAGGGCAGGCGAAAGGGAGAGAGAGAAAGCACAACTAGGGAGGATGACCACAGCTGCAAATTCCTTCTTCTCCACTCTTCTCAGGATCTTGGGCGTGCATGCACACGTGTCCAGTTTTTTGGTATTTTTTTGTTGTTCCTTTAAAAAAAGTTACTATGGGGCCAGCTGGTGGCGTGGTGGTTGAAGTCACTGAATCTCACTTGTCCAACTGCATGGTTTGAGTCCTGGACCTGGCAGCCTAAAAAACATGCCAGGCACATGTGCATGCATGCCAAAAATTTGGAAAGGAAGGAGAAATGGAGGAGAAAGAATTGCAACATGACCAACCCTCCATGGGGGGTGTATTTCACTTTCTCTCACTCCCTCTCTCCTTTTCCTTCTCCTTCTCCTCTCTCTCTCTCTCTCTCTCTCTCTCTCTCTCCAGTACATGTGCTTTCTGGCAAATTTTTTAAAAAGTTAAAAGTTAATCTGAATTTAAACAATGTGCAAATTATTCATTTTTCTTCATTCTTTTTTCTGTCTTTACATTGGATAATTTCTGTTAATCTCTTTTTCATTTCATTCATTCTTGCTTTGCCATCTCAAATTTGCTGTTAAGTTCATGATTTTTTTAATTTCAGTTATTATACTTTCGACTCTATGATTTCTACTTATAATTTGTATGTCTCTGTTGTGAATTTTTGCTGGTCATTTTATTTTCTTTTAATTATTTGAATATATTTATATTTGCTACTTTGAAGTTATCTGCTAAATTTAGTACCTAGGCCAGAATTTGTTTCTGTTGAGTTGTCAGTTGTTGAAAAAGCCATGACACATTTTTCCATAGAAAAAATATGTATGAAAAAATATGTCATGCCTTCCAACAACTCTTTAGTTAACTGCTTATTTTTGTGAATCTGTATTATACTTTTCTATTTCTTTGCATGTCTCATAATTAAAAAAAAAAATGGTCAATTTACTAATACATTATGGTGACTCTCAAGTGCTACGTAGTTTTGAGAGGTGTGTGTGTGTGTGTGTGTGTGTGTGTGTGTGTTTAGTAATTGGCTCATACTTAAATTGTGGATTCTGATTCTTGCACAGTATGTGACCACTGCTGTTTCTGCTTAGTGATTATCTATATTAGTTTTTAGCTTGGGTAGGAGTCACTGCTGTGTCTCCATAACTGAATGGTCAGTCAGTGACTAGAACAGAGATTTTATTCAAGCTCTTGGAGCTCATAGAGCTTCTACTTTCTATAGATACAGCTGCCTATGGATTGGGAAGTACATTCAAAGGTCTGCGAGTTCTTAAACCTGCCTTGGGTTTTCCTTGCTGTTGAGAACTCTCAAGTCTTCACTGTTCAGCCATGTACTTACACAGCTTTCCAGGGATTTGAGGAGAGTATACCTAGCCCTC